AATACATACAATACATGCATTAAGATGTACAACAACGAACCAAGTGGAGGTGTAGTTTTACAAATTATTTCGCCTTGCATTACTTCTAGACATGAACATTTTCAAGTGCCACTAGGAGTGTTGTTGGAGGAAATCATATTTACAGTGTTTGTTTGAAAGTATATTTGAAGTGAAATTTTGAAAGACTCAGAACTGTTTTGTTTTATGGCTCAGTGGTGCTTCTCACCATATTTATGCTTAAAATTGCTAAATATAAGAGGGAGCTACCTAGTCAGATAAGTTAAATTATTAGACGTTATAATTTTTGGGGTCATTTTTTACTTGAGGTAAAAATAACAATGAAAATTGTGCAGATTGTAAGGGTATCAAACAATGAATTTTGACAAATGCATAGATCTGTGTGACCCGAATTCGTTTCAGCATGCCTCTTTCCAGTTAACCTCCACTCCCACCCACCCATCCAGAGGAAAACACTTTTCTGGGTTTTTGTTTTTAATGACTGCTTAACAAAAAGCACCCTTTTTAATTTTATTACCAAAGATTAGCTTTGCCTGTTTAAAGCTTTATTTAAATGGTATCAGACTTCTTTTTTAAATTTTTGTGATACTTTAAGTTCTGGGATACATGTGCAGAATGTGCAGGTTTGTTACACAGGTATACACGTGCCATGGTGGTTTGCTGCGCCCACCAACCTGTCATCTAGGTTTTAAGCCCCACATGCATTAGGTATTTGTCCTAATGCTTTCCCTTCCCTTGCCTCCAAACCCCCGAGAGGCCCCAGTGTGTGATGTTCTCCTCCCTGTTCCACGTGTTCTCATTGTTCAACTCCCACTTATCAATGAGAACATGCAGTGTCTGGTTTTCTGTTTTTGTGTTAGTTTGCTGAGAATGATGGTTTCTTTCTTCATCCGTGTCCCAGTACAGCACATGAACACATTCTTTTATATGATTGCATAGTATCCAGTGGTGTATATGTGCCACATTTTCTTTATCCAGTCTATCGTTGATGGGCATTTGGGTTGCTTCCAAGTCTTTGCTATTGTAAATAGTGCTGCAATAAACATATGTGTGTGTGTGTCTTTATAGCACAACAATTTATAATCCTTTGGATATATACCCAGTATTGAGATTGCTGGGTCAAATAAGATTTCTGGTTCTAGATTCTTGAGGATTTGCCACACTGTCTTCAACAATGGCTGAACTTACTTTCACTCCCACCAATGGTGTAAAAGCATTTCTATTTCTCTACATCCTCTTCAGCGTCTGTTTTTTTCTTGACTTATTAATGATTGCCATTTTAACTGGCACGAGACGGTATCTCATTGTGGTTTTGATTTGCATTTCTCTAATGACCAGTGATGATAAGCTTTTTTTCATATATTTTTTGGCCACATAAATGTCTTGAGAAGTGTCTGTTCATATCCTTTGCCCATGTTTTGATGAGGCTTTTTTTTTTCTTGTGTATTTGTTTAAGTTCCTTGTAGATTTTGGATATGAGACCTTTGTCAGATGAATAGATTGCAAAAGTTTTCTCCCATTCTGTAGGTTGCCTGGTCACTCTGATGGTAGTTTCTTTTGCTGTGCAGAAGCTCTTTAGTGTGATTAGATTCTATTTGTCAATTTTGGCTTTTGTTACCATTGCTTTTGTTTTAGTAATGAAGTCTTTGCCCATGCCTATGTCCTGAATGGTATTGCCTATGTTTTCTTCTACAGTTTTTATTATTTTAGGTTTTTAAGTTTAAGTCTAATCCATTTTGAGTTCATTTTTGTATAAGGTATAAGGAAGGGGTCCAGAGTCAGTTTTCTGCATATGGCTAGCCAGTTTTCCCAGCATCATTTATTAAATATGGCATCGTTTCCTATTGCTTGTGTTTTGTCAGGTTGGTTGAAGATCAGATGGTTGCAGATGTGTGGTGTTATTTGTGAGGCCTCTGTTCTGTTACATTGGTCTACATAACTGTTTGGATACCAGTACCATGCTATTTTGGTTACTGTAGTCTTGTAGTATAGTTTGAAGTCAGGTAGCGTGATGCCTCCAGCTTTGATATTTTTGCTTCAGATTATCATGGCTATACAGGTTCTTTTTTAGTTTAATATAAAATTATAGGTAGTTTTTGCTAGTTCTGTGAAGAATGTCAATGGTAGCTTGATGGGAATAGCATTGAATCTATAAATTGCTTTGGCAGTATGGCCATTTTCACAATATTGATTATTCCTATCCATGAGAATGGAATGTTTTTCCATTTGTTTGTGTTCTCTCTTTTATTTCCTTGGGCAGTAGTTTGTAATTCTCTTTGCAGATGTCCTTCACATCCCTTGTAAGTTGCATTCCTAGGTATTTTATTCTCTTTGTAGCCACTGTAAATGGGAGTTCACTCATGATTTGGCTCTCTGTTTGTCTATTACTGGTGTATAGGAATGCCTGTGATTTTTGCAAATTGATTTTGTATCCTGAGACTTTGCTGAAGCTGCTTATCAGCTTAAGGAGTTTCTGAGCTAAGACAATGGGGTCTTCTAAATATACAATCATGTAATCTGCAGAGACAATTCGGCTTCCTCTGTTTTTATTTGAATACCCTTTTCTTTCTCTGGCCTGACTGCCCTGGCCAGAAAATCCAATGCTTTCTTGAATAGGAGTGGTGAGAGAGGGCATCCTTGTTTTGTGCTGGTTTTCAAAGGAAAAGCTTCCAGCTTTTACCCATTCAGTATGATATTGGCTGTGGGTTTGTCATAAATAGCTCTTATTATTTTAAGATATGTCCCATCAATACCAGGTTTATTGAGTTTTTAGGATGAAGGGATTTTGAATTTCATCAAAGGCCTTTTCTGCATCTATTGAAATAATCATGTGGTTTTTGTCATTGGTTCTGTTATGTGACTATGTTTATTGATTTGCATATGTTGAGCCAGCCTTGCATCCCAGAGATGAGGCTGACTTCATCCTGGTGGATAAGCTTTTTGATGTGCTGCTGGATTTGGTTTGCCATTATTTTATCAAGGATTTTTTCATCACGTTCATCAGGGATACTGGCCTGAAATTGTCTTTTTTTGTTGTGTCTCTGACAGATTTTGGTATCAGGCTGATGCTGGCCTCATAAAATGAGTTAGGAAGGAGTCTCTTTGTATTCTTTGTTTGCAATAGTTTCAGAAGGAATGGTACCAGCTCCTTTTTGTACCTCTGGTAGAATTCAGCTGTGAATCCATTTGGTCCTGGGCTTTTTATGGTTGGTAGGCTACAGTTATGCCTCAATTTCACAAGTTGTTATTGATCTATTCAGGGATTCAACTTCTTCCTGGTTTAGTCTTGGTGGGTGGTGTATGTGTCCAGGAATATATCCATTTCTTCTTGATTTTCTAGTTTATTTGCCTAGAGGTGTTTATAGTATTATCCGATGGTAGTTTGTATTTCTGTGGGATCAGTGGTGATATCCCCTTTATCATTTTTTATTGTGTCTACTTAATTCTTCCCTGTTTTCTTCTTTATTAGTGTGGCATCTGGCTAGTGGTCTACCTATTTTGTTAATATATTCAAAAAACCAGCTCTGGATTCATTGATTTTCTGAAGGGTTTTTCATATCTCTATCTCCTTCAGTTCTTTTCTGATCTTAGTTATTTCTTGTCTTCTACTAGCTTTTGAATTTGTTTGCTCTTTTTTCTCTAGTTCTTTTAATTTTGATGTTAGGGTGTCGATTTTAGATCTTTCCCACTTTCTGATGTTGGTATTTAATGCTATAAATTTCCCTCTTAACACTGCTTTAACTGTGTCCCAGAGATTCTGGTACCTTGTGTCTTTGTTCTCATTGGTTTCAAAGAACTTATTCATTTCTGCCTTAATTTTGTTATTTACCAAGTAGTCATTTAGAAGCAGGTTGTTTAGTTTCCATATAGTTGTGCAGTTTTGAGTGAATTTCTTAATCCTGAGTTCTAATTTGATTGCACTGTGGGCTGAGAATGTTTGTTATAATTTTCATTCTTTTGTATTTGCCAAGGTATGTTTTACTTCCAATTCTGCGGTTGATTTTAGAATAAGTGCTATGTGTTGCTGAGAAGAATGTATATTCTGTTGTTTTTGTGGAAAGTTTTGGAGATATCTGTTAGGTCTGCTTAGTTCAGAGGTTAGTTCATGTCCTGAATATCCTTGTTAATTTTTTGTCTTGTTGATCTGTCTAATATCGATAGAAGGGTGTTAAAGTCCTCCACTATTATTGTGTGGAGTTTAAATCTCTTCGTATATCTCTAAGAACTTGTTTTATGAATCAGGGGGCTCCTGTATTGGGTGTATATATATTTAGGATAGTTAGCACTTCTTGTTGCATTGATCTCTTTACCATTATGTAATGTCTTTCTTTGTCTTTTTTGATCTTTGTTTGTTTAAAGTCTGTTTTATCAGAGACTAGGATTGCAACCTCTGCTTTTTTTTGCTTTCCATTTGCTCAGTAAGTATTCCTTCATCCCTTTATTTGGAGCATATGTGTGTCTTTTCACATGAGATGGTTCTCCTGCACACAGTACACCATTGGGTCTTGATTCTTTATCTAATTTGCCAGTCTGTGTCTTTTAATTGGGGCATTTAGCCCATTTATATGTAAGGTTAATATTGTTATGTGTGAATTTGATCCTGTTATCGTGGTGCTAGCTGATTATTTTGCACATTAGTTGATGCAGTTTCTTCACAGTGTTGTCGGTCTTTATATTTTGGGATGTCTTTTGCAGTGGCTGGTACTGGTTTTTCTTTTGCATATTTAGTGCTTTCTTCAGGAACTACTCTAAGGCAGGGCTGATGGTGACAAAATCCCTCAGCATTTGCTTGTCTGTAAAGGATTTTATTTCTCCTTCTCTTATGTAACTTAGTTTGTCTGGATATGAAATTCTGGGTTGAAAATTCTTTTCCTTAAGAATTTCAACTATTGGCCCCCACTCTCTTCTGGCTTATAGGGTTTCTGCAGAGAGATCTGCTGTTAGTCTGATGGGCTTCTCTTTATAGGCAACCTGACCTTTCTCTCTGGCTGCCCTTAACATTTTTTTCCTTCATGTCAACCTTGGAGAATCTGACTATTATATGTCTTGGGGTTGCTCTTCTTGAGGAGTATCTTAGTGGTGTTCTCTGTATTTCCTGAATTTAAATATTGGCCTGTCTTGCTAGTTTGGGGAAATTCTCCTGAATAATATCCCAAAGTGTGTTTTCCAACTTAGTTCCATACGTTCCATCACTTTCAGGTACACCAATCGATCATAGATTTGGTCTTTTCACATAGTCCCAAATTTCTTGGAGGCTATGTTCATTCCTTTACATTTTTTTCTCTAATCTTGCTTCATGCTTTATTTCTTTAAATTGATCTTCGATCTCTGATATCCTTTCTTTTGTTTGATTGATTTGGCTATTAATACTTGTGTATGCCTCACAACGTTCTCGTGCTGTGTTTTTCAGTTCCATCTGGTTATTTATGTTCTTCTCTAAACTGGTTATTCTAGTTAGCAGTTCCTGTAACCTTTTATCAAGGTTCTTAGCATTTTTGTGTTGGATTAGAACATGCTTCTTTCACTCAGAGGAGTTTGTTATTACTCACCTTCTGAAGCATACTTCTGTCAATTCATCAAATTCATTCTTTGTCCAATTTTGTGCCCTTATTGGAGAGGAATTGCAATCATTTGGAGGAAAAGCAACATTCCGGTTTTTGGAATTTTCAACATTTTTGCACTTGTTTTTCCTCAGCTTCATGGATTTATCTACCTTTAGTCTTTGACATTGATGACCTTTGGATGGGGTTTTGGTGTGGGTCTCCTTTTTGTTGATGTTGATGTTACTGCTTTCTGTTTGTTAGATTTCCTTCTAGCAGTCATGCCCCTCTTCTGCAGATCAGCTGGAGTTTTCTGGCGTTCTACTCCAGGATCTGTTTGCCTAGGTATCACCAGCAGAGGCTGTAGAACAGCAAAGATTGCTGCCTGCACCTACCTAAGAAATCTTCATCCCAGAAGGTCACCCACCTGATGCCAGCTGGAGCTTTCCTCTGTGAGGTGTCTGTCGACCCTTGCTGGGATGTGTCTCCCAGTCAGGAGGCATGGGGGTCAGAGACCCACTTGAGGAGGCAGTCTGTTCCTTAACAGAGCTGGAGTGCTGTGCTGGGAGATCCACTGTTCTCTTCAGAGTTGGTAGGCAGAAATGTTTAAGTTTGATGAAACCGTGCCCATAGCAACCCCTTCCCCCAGGTTCTCTGTTTTAGGAAGATGGGAGTTTTATCTACAAGCCCCTCAGTGGGGCTGCTGCCTTTCTTTCAGAGATGCCCTGCCCAGTGAGGAGGAATCTAGAGAGGCAGTCTGGCCACAACTGCTTTACTGCCATGCAGTGAGTCACCAAGTCTGAACTTCCCAGATTCCTCAAGACTGTGAGGGGAAAGCCACCTACTCAAGCCCCAGTAACGGTGGAACTTCTTCCCCTCACCAATCCCAATCATTTCAAGTTGACTGCAGACTGCTGTGCTGGCAGCAATAATTTCAAGCTTGTGGTTCTTAGCTTGCTAGGCTTTGTGGGAATGGGACCTGCTTAGAGACCACTTGGCTCTCTGGCTTCTGCCCCCTTTACAAGGGAGTGAATGGTTCTTTCTCACTGGGGTTCCAGGTGACATTGGGGTACAAAATAAATTCCTGCAGCTATCTCCATGTCCACCCAGACAGCCACCCAGTTTTGTGCTTGAAACCCAGGGCGCTGAAGATGTAGGCATATGAGGGAATCTCCTGGTCTGCAGGTTGCAAAAACCATGGGAAAAGCATAGTATCTGGGCCAGATAGCACAGTTCCTTACAGCTTTCCTTGGCTAGGGAAGGGAGATCCTCAGCCCCTTGCACTTCCCGGGTAAGGCAATGTCCCACCCTGCTTCTGCTCACCCTCCATGGGCTTCACACCCTGCCTAACCGGTCCCAATGAGATGAACAAGGTACCTCAGTTGAAAATGCAGAAATCACCTGCCTTTTTTGTTTGTCACACTGGAAGCTGTAGACTGGAGCTTTTTCTATTTGGCCATCTTGCTTAACTCCCTAGATGTTATTTTAATACATGTATCAAGATGTGCAGCTCACTAAACAGGAGACCAGAGTTCTGTTATTACTCAAATCAACCTCCCCTACAATTTGGAAGCCAGGGTTCTTCAAGGATAGTTTGGCTGGCAGTGGGCTAGGGAATGGGTTGGTTAGGGATGCAATAATAGGTGTATGGAAAATAGTCCTCCTGGGCTGAATCTCAATTTGGGTGGGGGCCACAAGAGTCACTAGTCTGAGTGGGACCATATGGTCATTATAAATACAAAAGTCTCAATTCAAAGACATCTCAAAATGCCAATCGTAGGTTCCACCATGGTGATGTTATTTGGAGGAGTAATTGGGGAAGTGGCAAATCTTGTGATCTCTGGAATCATAGTTGGTAATTGTTTATGAATTCAGGTACCTCTGAACCTCCTACCATGGTGTGCTTTTATTAATTTTACAGAGGCAGTTTAGTTTTCTGAGAAGGGATATTATTATTTAAACAATACACTAAATTTCTCCCAAAGTTAGTTTGGACCATGCCCAGGAATGACCAAGGACTGTCTGGCAGTTAAGGTCAAGATTAAGTTGATTAGGGCAGATTTCTTTCACTGCTATAATTGTCTCCCTGTTATAATTTTTGCAAAGTGGTTTTAATCACAAGCATCTGTTTTTCTCAATATAATTTAAAGGTTTTATTTTCTTTAAAAGTGGAAAGAAGAATGAAATTGATCAGTCAGATTTTCTCACTTGTTCCTTAAAACATTTACATGGTATATTGAAAACACTGATTCCCTTTAGTGCTTGTGCTTTGGTAGATAAATACAAAGTAAAGCAAATTCAGCAGATCTGTGCTTCAAGTGCTTCCTCTGCTATGTATGTGAATTTGCCTCACTCATTATTACAATGTGTTTCCAAGAGTTTTACTTCACATTGGACCTGGATTTTCTGCTGGGTAGCATTAAAATGTTTCCCAAACAGCCATTACAATTTAGATGACTGACCTGAATGCCCACTCTTTTCCCTCAATTCTGGCGACATTTTTTTTCAGTGCTTCATAGCATGAATTCCATGTAACATTTTCTGTGCAGTCAACAACATCAACAATAAACCAAGTGGTGATTTCGTTTTCTAAACTATTTCACCTTGCATTTTTTCTAGATTTGAACATTTTCAGGTTTCATCAGGAGTATTATTGAAGGCAATCATATTTAAAAGTGTTTGAAGGTATATTCGAATGTATATGTTGAAAGACTCAGGCGTCTATTTGACTTTATGGCTCAGCAGCTGTTTCTAATCATATACTTGAGACTGTTAAATGTATGAATGAGCTACCTAGTTAGAGAAGTTAAATGATTAGTTCCATCAGATTTACATAGTCCATAAACTTTGAAAAATGTGAATATCCAATATAAAATATAACACTATGTGAAATAGCCCATCACCACTCAATAGATTATGGAATCTGAAGTAAAATTAAAACTCTATTATAAAAAAATATTGTTAGTAAGTTACACTAGCTAGGGAGTAATACATGTGTGTGGTTATCATTCACAATTTTACTAGAGTAACACGAATGTAATAAACGTCTCTCCTACACTCCCTTGACCCTTTTCCCTATGGCTAGAGTGGCTGAGAAGCAAGGCACCAAGTCCTTAGGCTGCACACAGTAGGGGGACCCTTGGCCTAGTCCATGAAACCATTTTTCCCTCCTAGGCCTCAGGGTCTGTGATGGGAGGGGCTGCTGCAAAAGTCTCTGATATGCCCTGTAAACATTTTTCCTATTGTCTTGGTGTTTAACATTTGGCTCCTTGTTATTTTTTGCAACTGTCTGCATTGTCTTGAATTTCTTCTCCAAAAATTGGATTTTATTTTCTATTGCATCATCAGACCGAAAATTTTCCAAATTTTTATGCCCTGTTTCCCTTTTAAAACTGAATGCTTTTAACAACACCTAAGTCAACTTTTGAATGCTTTGCTGCTTAGAAATCAATCCCTAAATCAACTCCTTCAAGTTCAAAGTTTCACAAATCTCTAAGGCAGAGACAAAATGCCACAAGTCTCTTTGCTAAAGTATTGCAAGGGTCACCTTTACTCCAGTTTGCAAGGAGTTCCTCATCTCTATCTGAGACTACCTCAGCCTGGATTTCATTGTCCGTATTATTATTGGTATTTTAGTCAAAGCCATTCAGCAAGTCTCTATGAAGCACCATACTTTCCCACATATTTCTATTTTCTTCAGAGACCCCAAAGTATTCCAGCTTCTGCCTGTTACCCACTTCCAAAGTTGCTTCCAAATTTTTGAGTATCTTTACAGTAGCACCCCACCCTTGGTACCAATGTACTGTATAGTCTGTCTTCATGCTGCTAATAAAGGCATACCCAAGATTGGATAATTGATAAAGAAAATGAGGTTTAATGGATTCTCAGTTCCACATGGCTAGGGAGGGCTCACAATCATGGTGGAAGATGAAAAGCATGCCTTACATGGCAGCAACCAAGAGAGAATGAGAACCAAGTAAAAGCAGAAGCCCCTTATAAAAACATCACATCTCATGAGACTTATCACTATCAAGAGAACTGCATGGAGGAAACTGCCCCCATGACGCAATGAATTCCCACAAAGTTCTTCCACAACATGTGGGAATTATGGGAGCTATAATTCAAGATGAGAGTTTGGTAGGGACACAGCCAAACCATATCAGGCTCTTTTTTAGTTCCACATGAATTTTAGGATTTATTTTTCTATTTCTGTGAAAAATCATGTTTGTACTTTGATAGAGATTGCATTGACTCTGTATATTGCTTTGGGGAGTTTTTAATGATAATTCATTCTAATTCATGAACATGTTTTATAATTTGTGTCATCTGCCAGAACTTTCATCACTGTTTCGTAGCTTTTCTTGCAGAGATTTTTACTTCCTTCATTAAATTCATTCCTGACATTTTGTTTTTTGTAGCTATTATAAATGGAATTGCCTTCTTGCTTTCTTTCTCAGCTAGACCATTATCAGTATATAGCAATGCTACTGATTTATGGACATTAATTTTGTATCTTGTAAATTTACTGAATTTATTTATCAAACTTAAGAGATTTTTGATGGAGTCTTTAGGTTTTTCTAAATATAAAATTACATCATTAGTAAAGAGGGAAAATTTGACTTCCTCCTTTTAAATTTCAATGCCTTTTATTCCTCTCTTGCCTGATTGCTCTGGCTAGAACTTTCAGTACTATGTTGAATAGGGATGATGAAAGTGGACACTCTTGTTCCAGTTCTCAGAGGAAAGGCTTTCAACTTTTCCCCACTCAGTATGATGTTAACTGTGGGTTTGTTTTATATAACTTTATTATTATATTGAGGCATGTTCTTTCTATGCCTAATTTGTTGAGCGTTCTTATCATGAAGTGGTTTGAATTTTATTAAAAGCTTTTTCTGCATCTATTGAGATAATCATATTATTTTTATTCATTTTATTTTTGTGATGTCTCACGTTTATTTATTTGCATTCCTCATATAAATTCCAATATGCTGGTTGACTCCGTTTGCTACCATTTTACTGAGGAGGACTTTTTAATCTGTGTTCATTGGGATGACCAAAACTGTAGGTAAAAACTTCCCAATGCTAGGAAGAGATTTAGACATCTAGACCCATGGGCCCAGCAATCCCCAAATACAATGCAAAAAGGTCTTTGCCATAGCACATTATAATCAGACTGTCTAAAGTCAAAGTGAAAGATCAAATTCAAACACAGCAAGAGAAAAATGTCTAGTCACTTATAAAAGAAACACCATATGACTAAGTTGGACATTTCAGCAGAAACCTTACCTGAAGATAGAGATGACATATTCAAAGTTCTGAAAGAAAAAACCCTGCCAATCAAAAACTGTATACCAAGAAGGATTGATCTTCATAAATTAAGGAGTAATGAAATATTTTCCAGACAAGCAAATGCTGGGGGAATTAATCACCACTGGACAACCCCTATAAGAAATGCTTAAAGGAGTCCTAATCTTGGAAGTGAAAGAACAATGTTCACCATCATGAAAATGCACAAAGCATCAAGCTCATTGGTAAAGCAATTCCACAGAAAAAGGAATAGAGGGGAATAAAATGGCAACACTACAGAATTCCATCAAACAACAATGACAAAGGAAAAAAAAAAGAATATATGAAACTAGGAAATAATTAACAATAAGAAAAGGAACAAAACCTCACATATTAATATTAAGCTTGAACATAAGTGGATTAAATGATTCACTTAAAAGATATATATTGGCTGAATGGATTTTAAAAAATGACCCAAGTTTATGCTGCTAAAGCCTGTGGTCCAATGTTTCTTTGTCAGTTCTCTATTTAGGTGATGTGTTTAGTGATGTGAGTAGGGTGTTTAAGTCCCCAGCTATTATCGTATTGCTTTTTATCTCTCTGTTTAGGTCTGGCAATATTTTTTTTTTATGAATCTAAGTGCTTTAGTATTGGGTGCAAATATATTTACAATTGTTACGTTCTCTTGCCGAATTGACCCTCTTTTTCTCCTCTTACCGTTTTTAATTTAAAGTCTATTTTACATGATATAAATAGAGCTACTTCTGCTCACTTTTGGTTTTTGTTTGAATGGAATATTTTTTCCACTCCTTTACTTTGCTGTATGCATTACTTAGTCTACATGTGTATTTAAAGGTGAGATGTGAATGAACTTAAAGTGTTGTTAGGAGAAACAGATGAAATGATGGGCAAGAGAAATATTTGCCTGTATGGTAATCATCAAACTTTGTTATTACAAAGAAATATTTAAATGAAAACCTAGTATCTTAAAAGTAAATACAGTTGAGGAATGGGGGTGGAGTGGGATAGAAGGGTGTTGACAATAGTAGTTTTGATTCTGGTAAACCTCAAGGGACGCACAATATGATGAAGCTGGTTAGGGAGATCAGTGTTCATTTATGATTCTGTATGAACTTACTTGACAGAGTGGACGTGTTGGAACACTGAAAGTTGACAGCCCCTGCAGCCTGGAATGATAAAATACACATACAAAGGAATTTGTAATTCATTTTGCAGAATTCCCTATTCCTCTTTAGCATTGACTTTTAAAAAATAGCTACTACTTATCATGGGGTCGGGGGGGGAGAAGCAAAAATTTCTCTAGACACATAATTCAGTCTATTTATACCCAATCAAACTTACCTTTCTTAATCTGACACTTAGTGACTTTTAATTTATTATAAACTTGTACTCCTCATTTCTTACTCTTATCTTTAATGTATTAAGTCAAATAACAAAGCCTGAAAGTATATTGATTTGGGTTTTCAGAATATTTACTATTACTAAATGGTTTTTCCATTTTCAATTATTACTCAGAACATTTGTTGGCTAAGTTTGTATTAAATGTAGTTACCAAAGGACTTTTTAATACTGATGCATTTATCCTCAGATAATAAAGTTAGCCTCAAACCTTAAACCCTTAGCTAAAGCGACAGCATTCCTGCAGCCACTTTAGGTTACCCTGAAGCAGGTTAATTAAACTGCTGTGTACTGTTTTGTCAAGATTTATCCCATTGTATAAATCTAGGTGTGTTATCTCTGTAGCACATTGTTCTAAAAGAAAACTATCTACCTCTAAAAAAAAACCCTAAACAAGGCTCAGTTATTAAATAGAATGGAGAGACAGATTAATCTTAGCTCTGGTTTGAGGGAAAAAGTCTCATCCCGTGGTTAGAAAGTGTCCAAGTTTTATTTCTGAGTGGAGGATTTTGTTTAGGAGATCCATGGTTTGTTGAGACATGGAGTACCTAAGAAATATTTATTTCCTTCATCTCATGGATGATGATTTTAAAAATAGGGAGCATTACAATTCAAATACAAGATTTGTCAAAATTTAGGATGGTCTTTATGTAAGGGCGATAGGTTTTTTAAAATTTCTTTAAAAAAAAAAAAAAACTGGGCTACTTGTACAGAATGTGCAGGTTACATAGGTATGCATGTGCCATGGCGGTTTGCTGCACCTATTGACCCATGCTCTAAGTTTTCTCCCCTCACCCCCCAACTCCCAACAAACCCTGTGGTGTGTTATTTCCCTCTCTGTGTCCATGTGTTCTCTATGTTCAACTCCCACTTATGAGTGAGAATATGCAGTGTTTGGTTTTTTGTTCTTGCATTAGTTTCCTGAGGATGATGACTTCCAGCTTCGTCCATGTCCCTGCAAAGGACATAATCTCATCTGTTTTATGGTTGCATAGTATTCCATGGTGTATATATACCACATTCTCTTTATCCATTCTATCACTGATGGGCATTTGGGTTGGCTCCATGTCTTTGCTACTGTAAATAGTGCTGGAATAAACATACATGTGCATGTGTCTTTACAGTAAAATGATTTGTATTTTTTGGGGGGGCACATACCCACTAATAGGATTGCTGTGTCAAATGCTTTTTCTGGTTCTAGGTCCTTAAGGAATCACCATACTGTCTTCCACAATGGTTGAGTGACAATCCCACCAATAGTGTAAAAGCATTTCTATTTCTCCACAACCTCACCAGCATCTATTGTTTCCTGACTTTTAAATAATTGCCATTCTGACTGGTGTGAGATGGTATTTCATTGCGGTCTTGATTTGCATTTCTCTGATGATCAGTGATGTTGAGCTTTTGTTCATATATTTGTTGGCCATATAAATGTCTGCTTTTGAGAAGTGTTCTTTCCTACCCTTTGCCCAATTTTTGATGGGATTGTTTGGTTTTTCTTGTAAATATGTTTAAATTCATTATAAATTCTGGATGTTAAACCTTTGTCAGATGGGTAATTATAAAATTTTCCCCCATTCTGTAGGTTGCCTGCTCACTCTGATGATAGTTTCTTTCACCGTGAAGAAGCTCTAGTTTAATTAGATCCCATTTGTCAATTTTGGTTTTTGTTGCAATTGCTTTTGGCATTTTTTGTCATGAAGTCTTTGCCCATGGCTATGTCCTGATTGTATTATTGTTTTTATGTTTTTGGTTTTATATTTAAGTCTTTAATCCATCTTCAGTTAATTTTTGTATAAGGTGTAAGGAAGGGGTCCAGTTTCAGTTTTCTGCATATGGCTAACCAGTTTTCCTATCACCATTTACTGAATAGGAGATCCTTTCCTCATTGCCTGTTTTTGTCAGGTCTGTATAAAATCAGATGGTTGTAGACGTGTGGTGTTATTTCTGAGGTCTCTGTTTGGTTCCATTGGTCTCTATGTCTGTTACGGTACCAGTATTATGCTGTTTTGGTTATTGTAGACTTGTAGTATAGTTTGAAGTCAGGTAGCATGATGCTTCCATCTTTGTTCTTTTTGCTTAGAGTTTTCTTGGCTATATGGAGTCTTCTTTGATACCATATAAATAAAGTAGTTTTTCCTAATTCTGTGAAGAATGCCAGTGGTAGTTTGATGAGAATACCATTGAATCTATAAATTACTTTGGGCAGTATGGTCATTTTCACAATTTCGATTCTTTCTATCCATGAGGATGGTATGTTTTTCCCTTTGCTTGTCCTCTCTTATTTCCTTGAGAAGTGGTTTGTAGTTCTCCTTTAAGAGGACTTTCACATCCCTTGTTACCTGAATTCCTACACATTTTACTCTCTTTGCAGTGATCCTGAATGGGAGTTGATTTATGATCTGGCTCTCTGATTATCTATTATTGGTGCAAAAGAATGCTTATGATTTTTGCACAGTGATTTTGTATCCTGAGACTTTGCTGAAGTTGCTTATCAGTTTCAGGACATTTTGAGCTGAGATAATGGGGTTTTCTGAATATAAAAGCATGTCACCATGTGGACACAGTGTCTCTGCCTGTAATCCCAGTACTTTAATAGGCCGCCTTTTTTTCTCTCCTCTAATAGGAGACAAAAAATCCTATTGCCCGTACATAAAGACCATCCTAAATTTTGACAATTCAAATACAAATCTTGTATTTGAATTGTAATGCTCCCTATTTAAAAAATCTCCTTGCAGATCACAAGGTCAGGAGTTTGAGACCAGCCTGACCAACATGGTGAAATACCCTCTCTACTAAAAATACAAAAATTAGCTGGCCATGGTGACATGTGCCTCTAATTCCAGCTACTCAGGCGACTGAGGCAGGAGAATCATTTGAACCTGGGAGGCGGAGGTTGCAGTGAGCCAAGATCATGCCACTGCACTCCAGCCTGGATGACAGAGTGAAACTCTGTCTTAAAAAAAAAAAATAACAAAAAAAGAAAAAAAAAAAAAAAAGAAATCATGTCATCTGCAAACAGAGACAATTTTATTTCCTCTCTTTCTATTTGAATATTCTTTCTTTCTTTCTTTTGCCAGATTGCCCTGGCCAGAACTTTCAATACTGTGTTGAATAGAAGTGGTGAGAGAGGGCATCCTTGTCTTGTGCTGGTTTTCAAAGAGAATGCTTCCAGCGTTTGCCCATTCTATATGATATAGGCTGTGAGTTTATCATAAGTATCTCTTATCATTTTGAGAAATGTTCCATCAATATCTAGTTTGTTGAGAGTTTTTAACATGAAGGGATGTTGAATTTTATGAAAGGTCTTTTCTGCATCTATTGAGATAATTGTGTATTGTTTTTTTTTGATTATTCTGTCTTGTAATGGATTATGTTTATTGATTTGCATATGTTGAACCAGTCTTGCAACCCAAGGATGAGGATGACTTGATCATGGTGGATAAGCTTTTGACATGCTGTTAGGTTTGGTTTGCTAGTATTTTATTGAGGATTTTTGCATCAATGTTCATCAGGGATATTGGCCAGAATTTTTCTCTCCTTGTTGCGTCTTTCCCGGTTTTGGTATCAGGAAGATGCTGGGTTCATAAAATGAGTTAAGAAGGAGTCCCTCCTTTCAATTGTTTGGAATAGTTTCAGAAGGAAGGATACCAGCTCTTCTTTGTATTTCTGGTAGAATTCAGCTCTTAATCCATCTGGTCCTTGGCTTTTCTTGATTGCTAGGCTATTAATTACTGCATTAATTTCAGAATTTGTTATTGGTCCATTCAGGAATTCAACTTTTTCCTTTAATCTTGAGAGAGTGTATGTGTCAGGAGCTTATCTATTTCTTCTAGATTTTCTAGTTTATTTGTATAGAGGTGTTTATAGTATTCTCTGATGGTAGTTTGTATTTCTGTGGGGTTAGTGGTGATATACTCTTTATTATTTTTTACTGTGTCTATTTGATTCTTCCCTCTTTTCTTCTTTGTCTAGTTAGTGGTCTATTTTGTTAATTTTTTCAAAAAACAGCTCCTGGATTCACTGATTTTGAAGGGTTTTTCATGTCTCTATCTCCTTCAATTCTTTTCTCATCTTAATTATTTCTTGTCTTCTGCTAGCTTTTGGACCAGTTCGCTCTTGCCTCTCTAGCTCTTTTAATTTTGATGTTGCTGTGTCTATTTGAGATCTTCCTAGCTTTCTGATGTAGGCATTTCATGCCATAAATTTCCCTCTTAGCACTGCTTTAGCTGTACCCCAGAAATTCTGGTACATTGTTTTCTTGTTCTCATTGGTTTCCAAGAACTTCTTGATTTCTGCCTTAATTTCATTATTTACCCAGGAGTCATTCAGGAGCAGGTTACTCAATTTCCATGTAATTTTGTGGTTCTATGTGAGTTTCTTAATCCTGAGTTCTAATTTAAATGCACTGTGGTCGCAGAGACTGTTATGATTTCAGTTCTTTTGAATTTGCTGAGGAGTGTTTTACTTCCAATTATGTGGTAGATTTTAGTGTCATGTGGCACTGAGAAGAATGTATATTGTATTGATTTGGGGTAGATAGTTCTGTAAACGTCTACTAGGTCTACTTGATCCAGAGCTGAGTTCAAGTCCTGAACATCCTTGTTAATTTTCTGTCTCATTGACCTGTCTAATACTGACAGTGTGGTGTTAAAGTTTCCCGCTATTATTGTGTGGGAGCCTAAGTATCTATATAGATCTTTAAGAACTTGTTTTATGAATCTCTGTGCTCCTATATTGGGTGTATATATGTTTAGAACAGTTAGCTTTCTTGTTGAATTGTTCCCTTTACCATTATTATTTTTTTAATCTTTGTTGGTTTAAATTTTCTTTTGTTAATAGGATTGCAACTCCTGCTTTTTTTGCTTTCCATTTGCTTGGTAAATTTTCCTCTATCCCTTTCAGCCATACGTGTCTTTGGATGTGATATGGGTCTCCTGAATACAACCTGCTGATGGGTCTTGACTCTTCATCCAATGTGCCAGTTTGTGTCTTTTAATTTGGGCAGTTAACCCACTTACATTTAAGAACAGTATTATTATATGTGAATTTGATCCTGTCATCATAATACTATTTGGTTATTTTGTACCCTAGTTGATGCAGTTTCTTCCTAGTCTCATTGGCCTTTATATTTTGGTGTGTTTTTGCAATGGCTGGTACCAGATTTCCTTTCCATATTTAGTGCTTCTTACAGGAGCTCTTGCAGGGCAGGCCTGGTGGTATCAAAATTCCTTAGGATTTGTTTGTCTGGAAAGAATTTTATTTCTCCTTCACTTGTGAGGCTTAGTTTGGCTGTATAGGAAATTCTGGGTTGAAAATTCTTTAGGAATGTTGAATATTGGCCTCCAATCTCTTCTGGCTTACAAAGTTTCTGCTGAAAGGTTCACTTTCAGTCTGATGGCCTTCCATTTGTAGGTGACCTGGCCTTTCTCCCTGACTGCCTTTTACATTTTTATTTTCATTTCAAGCTTGGAGAATCAGATGATTATGTGTCTTGGTGTTGATTATCTCATGAAATATCTTAGTGGTGTTCGCTATATTTCCTGAATTTGCATGCTGGCCTGTCTTGCTAGGTTGGGGGGGTTCTCCTGGATAATATCCTGAGGTGTGTTTTTCAGCTTATTTCCATTCTCCCTATCTCCTCCTGGTACTTCAATCAATCATAAGTTAAGTCTTTTTATGAAGTTCCATATTTCTTAGAGGCTTTGTTTATTGCTTTCATTCTTTTTTCTTTAGTCTTGTCCGCATGCCTTATTTCTCAAGACAGTCTTAAAACTCTGATATACCTTCTTCCACTTGGTCAATTTGGCTATTGAGACTTGTGTATGCTTCATGAAGTTCTCGTGCTGTGTTTTTCAGCTCCAGCAGGCTGTTTATGTTCCTCTCTAAACTGATTATTCTAGTTAGCAATTTCTCTAACATTTTATCAAGGTTCTTAGCTTCTTTGCATTGGGTTGAACATGCTCCTGTAGCTCATATAGTTTTTTATTACCCATCTTCTGAAGCCTGCTTCTGTCAATTCATCCATCTGATCCTCTGTCCATTTCTGTGCCCTCGATGGAGAGATGTTGCAGTCATTCAGAGAAGAGGCACTCTGGCCTTTTGGGTTTTCAGCATTTTTTCATTGATTCTTAGTCTTTGAGGTTGCTGATCCTTGGATGGGGTTTTGTAACGGCTTTTTTGTTCTTGATGATGATGCTAGTGCTTTCTGCCTTTTTTTTTTTTTCCCCAATGGTCATGTCCCTTTTCTACCAGGGCGCCTGAAGTTTTCTGGGGGTTCACTTCAGGCTCTATTCATCTGATTTGCTCCTGCACCTGGAGATTTCATTCAAGGAGGCTGAAGAACAACAAAGATGGGTGTCTGCTCCTTCTCCTAGGATCTCTGACCCCAAGGGCAGTAGGATTGCTCTTGTATAGGATGTCTGACAACCACTGGAGGATCTCACCCAGTTGGGTGGCACAGGGAGCATTTAACGAAGCACTTTGTCCGTTGGTGGAGGGGGTGTGGTTTGCTGGAGGGAAACCCATTCATCTGGGCTACCTGTATTTCTCAGAACCACCAGAAGGAAAAGCTAAGTCTGCTGGTCTGCAGAGACTGTGGCCACCCCTCCCTTTAGAGACTAAGGCCTAGGGAGACTGGGTTCTGTCCCTGAGCCTCTGGGTGGAGTTATTGGAGTTCCTGTAGGGAAGCCCCATCCAACAAGGAAGGAGGAGTCAGGGTCAGGCCTGAAGAGGCACCCTGGCTGCAGACTGCCACAGCTGGTGTGCTGGGCTGTGGGAGACATGTTTTGGGATCCTGCTGTCCAGCCTCCCTGGCTCCAGCGGAGGAAAAGTGCAGCCCGAAGCTATAAAGATGTATGCCACCCTTCCCCGTCCCAAGGAGCTTACTGTTAGACAGTTGCAAGCCCAGGGGCTATTCCTGCCCCTCCGCCAAAGATATCAAATGGCTTAGACAACAGGCAGCTACATTTGCAGTGCTGGTCTCCCCACTCCACAGGAGTTCGGTAGCCTTAAGCAGCTTTCAGCTGATGGGCTGTTGAGAATCTATGCATTCTGGGATTGGGATACTAGGTCCCAATGGTGTGGTTTCACAAGTGGGATCTTGCAATCTGTGGGTTGCACAGTTCCATGAAAAAAGCATGATGTCCTGACTGGGTAGCATGCTCACTCACCGCTTCCCTTGGCTATGGGAAGAAAGGGGCTCCCTGCTCCATGTGGCTCTCAGGTAGTCTGCTGCACTACACTGCTCTTCCTTCTCTTTGGGGATTATGCCAGCCTCCTAGTCAGTTCTAATGTGGGAACCTGGATACCTTGGTTTCTGGTGAAATCTTCACACACTATGTTTTTTTTTTTGATGGGAGCCTCTGAACGCTGCTTCTTCTAGTTAGCCATCTTGACCCTGCCCTAGTATTTGCTGTTAGGTTATTATTTAACTAGTTCCAAGAAGTTAGTTCATATGTTGTGTGTGTGTGTGCATGTGTATGTGTAAATTTATTATGTAACTTATTTATACAATTTATAAATAAGTGTATAATTTTAGCAATTATAACCAGATTTGAACTTAAACAGTGCTTTAAAATAATACCATAATAAATACTGTGATTTTTTAAAAGAGAGTGTTTCTAGGCATGCTTTAAAAGTAGAAAACAAACTTTAAAAGAAAACCTGGCTTAAAAATTGCATAGAACTGTTTTGGACAAGAAAACTAAAAAGGAGGGTAGATGATGTTGAGGAGAAGAACAGGAGGCTATAGCCTAAGAAGGAAGGTAGAATGTAAGAAATTCCCACTGAACGAAAGTTAGCCACTGTTATGTGACTGCAAATGACTTCACGATTAGTTGTTATTACAACCACCTAAATGTGCTTTAGGAGTTCAGAGGAGAGAGATGCAATTTGCACTGGAATAGACTGATAATGTTTTATGAAGAAATTTCAGGGCTCATACAGAGAAATTAAGTGGGAATTGACTAGGTGGAAAAGCAAGTATAAATTAACCCTAAAAGCAAGAAACAACAAAATGTGTGTAAGAGACACAGGACAGGAGCACTTGGTTGGGAAATTACAATGATAGCACAGAGTTTGATTGCAAGGGCCTGACTTCCACGTCAATTAGTTTGGGCTTTATCCCACTGACTTTATAAATCTTCGAAGACTCCTTAGCAGATGTCTAAAGTGAGTAAAGGGATGTTTTATAGTTATCTTATAGAATGAACAGGAATTATTCATAGTTTTTAAATTTTATAGGATTGTGAGGAATTGTTGATAGTGTTTTTAAAAGGCTTGAAGCTTGTGCTTTCTAAAGAGTACATATAATACCACAATAATATTCTAAGTGCAGTATTTTGGGTGAGAGTTCATTTCTCCCTCTTTTAACTTCCTTAATTGTGCTAGGCTAAGCCAGGGCAGGAGTATTTTAATGCTGGAGAAAAATATAAGAATGGTGAAGAATTTCATAAGAATGTTATCCAAATTTCAGTATTCAAGAGGATAGGGAGATGATGTCTCTCTGTGTGTGGTTGCAGTACCAGTAGGAATTTATGAGTCTTTGCAACTGCATTCAAAACCATCATAAAGAGAAAAGTACTTGAATTTTTATCTCTGCATGCAATTTTGTCAATTTCCAGTACAAACCCACTTTCCTGTTTTTAAATTAGTTCTTCTATGACAGAATCATGAACTACATAAAGTCATTTCAGCAACTTATTGTGAACTGTAATCTGAGTTTTAGAGACTAGCTTTACCTGCCACATGAACTTTAGCATTGCTGTTCAACATTTGTTGGGGGAGGGGGGGCGTGCACACATTATTTTAAAGAAAAAGTGCACAACCTATGTGTGATTTCCAGTTGTGATTGATAGAGAATTAGACGACTTAGGTACCCAGCCTTTGTTCTTGACGATGTCATAAAATAGTTGCTTTGGAGGACAAAGAGGAAACGGAATTCTGAGAGATGTCTGGGATTCTTGCAGGAAAGTGTTTTCTTTGAATAAGACTCAATCTTTCAAAAGTTTGATCTGAGTTCTAAGATTCTTCAAGTACGGTTGACTTTTCTGATCATTTTAATAAGGATCTTTTAGAATATTTTGTTGAGAAAGCATTGACTTACCTTTCCAGACTAAATCGTGTTTTTTCTTTCACTGGGGGCTCTCACGTGTGTGATAATTGGTTACTGTAACTGTCTCCACTACTACTCAGAGACCCTTGGGTAAGAGACAGAACTGTCTCCTACCAAACTGTTATAGCTCCAGCACATAAAAGAGTAGGAGGCATACAGTAGGAATTTAATGAATTTCAGTTGAATAGATAGACAAATCTATTCAAGCGATTTGTTGAGTACTTCTCATTTCCAAGTCATCATGCCAAAGTGATGGGAAAACATATCATTATTTTTGATACTTCCTTCAAAAGAATTTTAGTGTGGAAGCTAAAACTTTGATAGAAAATCTAATTAAGCATAGTTGATACATTGTAGTTGTTTCCTCCCTTTTCTCTTATTTACCTAATTTTAATCTTTGTCTTTATCACTGTGCCTTTAAAGGTCACAAATAACCACCTATTTGGCAAATGTACGGGTTTAAATTTTCTTAATCTCCTTGACCTCTATGTAGCACTGAGCACTAGAGAATCCAGTCTTCTTTTTGAACTTAACTTTTCCTTGTTGGCCCCAAAACACCCTACTAGATTTTGACCTCACCTTCCTCCCACGGCTGTGTAGTCACACAGCCTTCACTATCTGCATTGGTCATTATTCCCACCCAATACACCGTGTACCTCCTCTTTTCTTCTTCTTCTATACTGTGTATCTTTTGGAGCATTTTCCAGACTAATATTTCCATTCATGATTTAACATGTGTGTGTCAAAATGCTTCCATGACTACGTATCCTGCACTTGAATCCCATGTTTTCCTTTCAAATTTGTGGTTTTTAAAACTAAACATCATGTTTCCCCATATGCCTTATTTTCAGTTTGAATTTTGCTTTTCTGTCATAGTACCAGCAGGTTCCTTGCCCACCAGTCCTGAAACTTTGTACATCTCATTGTCTCCTCTTCCTCAGTTTCTCTTTCATCGTTGCCACTTACAGTAGTGATATGTAGATTATCTTACATTGATGTAGTAACTACCAAGGCAGTGGCTTCCCTGCATCCAGGTCTTCCTTCTTGAGTCTATGCTGGATTGAGCCTCATTAGCTCTGCATATTACTCTTCTTCAAAATCCTTTCAGGATGACTACTGCATATATTTTGTCTTGCTTAGCCTGGAATTCCAGGCCTTGTACAAAATGACTGGCACAGGTCTTTAGTAATTTTACCACAAAACAAACCCAATTAGTCAACATACCTGATTTGGTACATTTGCTAGCACTATTCCCTTTTCTACATTAGTGAATTAAAACTCAATAAATTTCTGAATTGTATTCTCATATAAAAGTCTAATTAAAGTGTTAGCATTTCCATTAAGCTTCCTGCATGGTAGTGTTTCCCAATCTGAGAAATACAATTTTAAATGTTACCCAGAACAGCATTAAAAATAAATAAATAAATAAATAAATAAAAATTCCCTTTTCTGTTCCTTTCGGTCTTTCTAATTTTATCAAGAAGATTGTAATTACAGAAAAATAGTTTAATTTGGAGAGAATTAAATTGCTCTTCTTTTATCTCAGAAGACGTGTTTTACCAAAGGATAAGCCATTGTAGTGTGTCAGTTCTTGTAGAGCATAAAAACTGTTACTGTAGAGATCCAGCTG